GAAGAGCNTCCTCACTAGTGACCGAAGCAACCAAGCGAAGGTCACAAAACCTGACACTTTCTGTTGTACCAAAGTCTTCGCTGATTTTGTGCATCAACAGCTTCAATTGTGCAAACATTTCCTCGGTGCGATTTGGAAAAACTATCAGATGATGAATGTTGGCTCATATTAAGGAATAAAGCATTTCTAGATGATAGTGCTCCTTTAACTGAAGATCAAGAGAGAATGGCAAGGGAGATCGCCAAAAAATGTGCAGGTGTTCCATTAGTGGCAAAGGTAAGCTATATTATCAATTTGCTCAAGTTTTCAAATGCTTTTTTTTTATGGTTATTATATATTGTTCCAACCCGCGAGTTTCTTAGCCTAGGTTATTTTAAAATGGTACTATTCATTATCATTTTTTTGAACAAAGGATATTATCTACATTAAATGGGAGGGGATTGGCTTAACCTCACAATGAACTAGCAATAACGTGGTTTAAATCCGCCTTTGGCGAGAATCGAATCTAAGACCTCTCACTTACATGTGAAGAAAAATACCACTGGACCGTAGTACTAAGTGATTCTTTGGTTAATGATTCTATATGAAAGAAATTATGATTGCGCTATGATACATCAATTACTTAATACATTCACTATCTACGGTCATATATGGTTAGAATTTTGCGGCTATTCTTACTTAATTGAAACAATTGTACCTGTTAAAGATTGTCCCTCTAAAGCTATCTCCAATAGAGGGTGGAAACAAAAAAAAACTCAAATTTTAGGTCCACATTCTTTCCGAGGCATATATTTTGGGGTGGGAAAACTGGGATTTTGGGATTGGGGTGGAATTTGGGTCAGCCCCTTGAATTGGCGATAGCCTAAAAATGGTTAGGGTCAGATATGGCCGAATATAGCAAAATGACTGTACCTCTATAAGTTTTGATATTTCTTACGTTATATTGTTATTACTTCTTCAATTTTATAGCCCATTATTGTTTAATAAAAATTTGAAATCATGATCGTCTATCAATAGGTTTTAGGAAATATGATGCGATGCAAAAAGAGTGATGGATGGCATTCAATTCTAAACAACAGAATGTGGGATTTACAAGAAGGAGATTATAGAATTTTGTCGGTTTTGAAGTTGAGTTTTGATGAATTGAAAATTCCATCTTTAAAACGGTGTTTTGCATATTGCTCAATGTTCACCAAAGATTTCAAAATTGAAAAGGATGATTTGATCCAAGTATGGATGGCTCATGGGTTACTTCAGTGCCCTTCTCCCAACCAAAGTAATCTAGAGATGGAGGATATTGGAAATGAATATTTTAATATTCTCTTGGAGAGCTCTTTTTTTCAAGATGTTACAGTGGATACGTATACTGCTACTACTATTACTCATTGCAAGATGCACGATCTTGTGCATGATCTTGCAGAATATGTATCAAAATCAAAGAGCAAAGAATCCAATGAGTTTCGACATGTGGCGCAAATTTCTACCTCAATGTTACAAGGAATATCAAAAGGAGGTGTACATAAATTGCGCTCAATTTTTTGGAATGGTGAAGTTCATTGTGACATCTTATCAAGATTTAAAGGCTTACGTGTGTTAAAATTATGCGAGGCTTTTATCAAGGAGTTACCAATTTCAATTGGGGAGTTGAAACACTTGAGGTATCTAGATGTTTCGAGAACAAGGATGAGGACGCTCCCCCAATGTATTGGCAAGCTTTATAATCTACAGACATTGAGGATGTTCAGACTCAAAGTTAAGTTCCCAAAGGAGCTGCTTAAATTGATAAATCTGAGACATTTTTATTTTGATCGAGATGATGAGATATATCCAGTTGGGGTTGGGCAATTGACTAATCTCCGATCATTATCTTTTTTCATTGTGGGTAAGGAGAGAGGTCGTGGAATAGAGGAACTGGCTGGCTTAAAGCAATTGAAAGGCCGATTATCCATTCATAATCTCGAGCTTGTGAGAGATGGAGAAGAAGCAAGGAAGGCAAAATTAGTGGACAAGACAGGCATTCGCAGATTAGTCTTTGTATGGGACAGGTCACGGATCAATATTAACGACCTCGATGTACTAGAAGGCCTTCAACCACCGAATACTAAACTGGAATTTTTAGAGATTCGCAACTTCATGGGTGACAAATTTGCATCGTGGATGATGGGAAGTCCCTTTCCTTCATTAAAAATATTAGCTATCATTGGTGCCAACGATCTAATTGAATGGATGGAAGCACCAGAAAACATTGTGCTCTTTCCATGCCTCGAGGAGCTGCGTCTGCACAATTGCAATCAATTGAGAAGTGCTCCTAGTCATTTTCCATCTCTTAAAAGGTTAGTCATATATTCTATGGCTAGCGGCATGCCAATATCCAATATAAGCAGCAACCTGACCACTCTGACCTCTTTGGAAATAAAGAATATAAAGGGACTTGATTATCTGCCAGAAGGGATGTTAAAAAACAACAAGAATCTTGCATGTTTGAAGATTTACAATTGTTGGGACATGAGTTCTGTTACCATGGATGATGTATTTGGGTGCTGCACTTCTCTTAAGTCCGTGATTATTTTTGACTGTCATAAACTTAGGTGTCTGCCGGATGGGTTGCAAACTCTTGTTTCTCTTGAGACGTTGTATGTGCGGGGTTGCAGTAGTCTAGAGCTCATTCCAGATATGCACAGTTTGGCTTCTCTCTGTGAATTATCCATTGATGGCTGTCCTCAGTTATCCAGTCTACCTAATGGACTTGAATACTGCACTTCTCTTCAAATGTTGAAAATAAGAGACTGCTCCAAAATAACATCCATTCCAATCACACAGGGCCTCGCTTCTCTCTGTATATTAGATATTCACAATTGCCCTGAATTATCAAGCTTGCCGAGTGGGTTAGAACATTGTACCTCTCTTCAGGACTTGACTATATCTTCTTGCAAAAAGCTAACATCTACTGGGATTCACAGCCTCCCACCCTCCCTCCACTCTCTGGCGATATATGACTGCACAAGTCTAGAGTTCATTCTAACTTTACAGGGCTGCCGGTCCCTCCGAAAATTAGAAATTGGTGGTTGTGATGGAGGGACAAGCCAACTGGTAACTGAGCTGGAATACTGTACCTCTCTTCATTCACTGTCTATCAGAGGTTGTGAAAGTCTGGCCCATTTTCCAGATGGGCTACAACTGTCTTCTTCTCTTGAGATACTCAGTATAAACAGGTGCCCAAATCTAGAAACTATTCCAAGTTTAGAAAACCTCACCTGCTTGAAGAAATTCGAAATTGGTGGATTTTGGAAGGAGCTCGATTCATTCCCTTCTTTTCAGGTTCTGCCACAACTTGAAAGGTTAAGCTTGTGGGGTTGGCGTAAGCTCAAGTCTCTGCCTGAACAAGTTCAACACTTCACTTCTCTAGCACATTTGGATATATTCGAGTTTGAAGGAATGGAGGCTCTTCCAGAGTGGTTGGGGAACCTTGCATCTCTTGTGTCCCTACATATATGGGAGTGCAGGAATCTGATGTATCTACCTACGGTTGAAGCTATGAAATGCCTCACCAAATTAGAACACATATCATTTTCTGATTGTCCTCTTCTAAAAGAGAAGTGCAAAAAGGAGAGCGGCCCAGAATGGTCCAAAATTTCACATATTCCAGAGATTGAAGGTATTTCTCTCTTTTTTTCTTTCCGGTTCACGTATCAAGTACTCATCATGTGTTCTTTTTTTCTTTCTTACTTCTCATTAAACTTAATTAGTTGCTATGTTGTATGTATGTTTTTGTTTCGTTTTCCCTATACTACAATTTAATGTACATGATATGAATTTTGTTGAATATAAGTCTCGCATCGGGGAATAAAAAAAATAAAATACTATATAAGTGTATGGTTTCACTTGTACTAACACAAGGGTTTTGTGATAAAATTCAACACCTAGCAATAGGTGGGGGTTTTTAAGACAACAACAGATGGTTAAGTTGAAATAATATCCATGTGGTAAGGAGTGGGTAAGTGGTCCTTCTCTCTAAATATCTAACAAATTTCAATCCTACAAATTTGTGACAAGATATGTTTACATCATGATATGCATCTGGTTACCTACCTAGTCCAATCATGTCTTCTCATCTCTTTTAATTGTTCTCTCCTTTCCCCACTTGAGTTATTAGTGAATAGTTGAAATAAGGATATGATTTATGTTATTAGTTGGAAAAAAAAATAAAAAGAAGATTTATCTATGAGTTTTGAAGTGTTCTTCGTATTCATATGAGCATTTCAAGGTACCATTTGTTATAGTCAATTAGTTAAAATTATGCTCAAGTTTTTGACGTATTATGTTTAAATCTGTAGTTGACGGGATCCGACTTCAGAATCTTCCAATATCTCTAAATGAGTACTAATTGTTACATTATTCAACTTAAGTCAGTCACTCTTCTAAAGGTACTGGTCGGGTAAAGATATCTCTGGAGAAGGATTCTCGAACCTTAGCACAGCCCCCTAAGGGATTGGCACTTTGGACGTGTAGTCGGGCTCTTACTTGTTGATGTGCTACAAGAAAAGGATAAAGCTAGTTCTGAAATGTGCCTTTGTGGGGCCTTAGGTGTAGGCCTTGAGGCTCGCAATAAAAAATAACTAAGTGCTAGGTGTGCCACTGCTATCTCAGTACAACAGATGTAGAACAAGTGTGTTTTTAGTCGATTATTTGTGCCCCAAGTTACTCGGACCTCTTGTTATCAAATGATTGTTGTGGATGGGTTAAGTCCACATAAGTTCTTTTTCTTGCCTTGTAAACAAGGACTTTTAGTTCATAGTCTTGTATGTTCGAATGAAGGGAGTCCAGATCCTCTTAAGTCATTTGTTTGGTTCTTAATTAATTTTAATGATAACATATCCATTAAACTAACCAGATCCAGATGCAAATGGAACTCTTAAGATAGGAAAATTGATGGAAATAACTTGAATACATACTAGAGAATGCATTAAGTAATAGATCTACAAATTTAGAAAACAAACAAAGAGCCTCATGCAAGATTTCACCTTGTTTGTCAAGGTTAAACCTCTTGCAATCACTTATCTTTGAATTAACAAGGGTTTATGTGCTAAAAAGGGATGGATAGTAAATAAGTTTACACAAAGGAATCGTAACTATGCCACTGAGGGAGATAACAGAGCTTTAAACTGGACAAGAGATAGCTTGTCGATAAAAAAACTGAATCTGGGTTGATTTCAGCTTTTGAATGCAAATCTGGCTTGAGAGCAGAGTTTGTATGTTTTTTTGTTTGATTGGTTGAGTGTCCTTGTCTCTGGGGCCTCTTCCTCATTTTATAGGCAGATTAGCCCGACTGTTGTAACTTTGTTCTTGCTCGAAAACACTTGGAGGGTAGTGAGTCATCAGCATTTTACTTGGAATGCCACTAGAAAGTATTCTTTGGTTGGTAGTAGATTAGTCTCCATCACTTGTCACTTCAATGGTAAGTATGTGGCTTATATCTTGGCTAAGAAGGCTTTAATCTGCCCTTGGGCTTGATGCTGGGCTTCGGGCAGGTCCCTTTTTAGTTAGTATCATTAGGATTTCCTTCATTCAAATTCAATGTTCTAATATTAACCCAAATAGTGCCCCCTTTAATCATTGTTGAATCTACAACCAAAGACGCTAATAATGATTAAATAGCTGTCACATGCCTTCACTTGGGACTTGTACCATTTAAAGCAGTCATTGATTAACTAAAACTCTTGTACTAACCCACGAATTCCATCGTTAATTAACCACTTACTATATAATCCTCACTTAAAACTCATCGACAAAGTACCTTAGCCATTTTGAGCCTTCAAATTCCCAGAACTTCCCAGAACTCTCAGAACCTTCAGACTTTCCAGAAACTTATCTCGTTCTTAAGTTCTTGCCTACCTAATTCTGATTTTCTTCCCATTTTCTCCTCAAAATCATCCAATGGCACCCAAAGTTGCTCGAACTCAATCTCCCCGCGAGACTGGTGAGGGGATTTCCACCATGCGTCGCTTGCTTAACGGCCTTTATCACCCTCGGGTAGGCCTGCATACTGAACTTTTCTTTGATGAAGGAAGAGTACATTTCTTAGGGCCTGCATAGACTTCTCATGTCCTTATAGCTATAAAAAACAATATGCCTAAGGAGAATTGGTATACCCCCAACCCATTTCAGGCTAAGTTGGGCATTGCGTCCAACTTCTGTTTCAGGACTTCTATGGCATTAAGAAATAGCCAGGTAGCTTTAATCGCACTGGTTGATTCCACTTTGAATATAAAGCTATCTTCCCTTGCACTGATATCCATAAGCCTAGACTTCCTCATAGCTTCTGCTTTCTTGATCACTTTATCATCATAGGTGTATGCTTCGGGATCAACTACCACGACCTTGTCAGTTTTAGGATCAATGTCAAAGGCCTTGGTAGGACTTGTAGTAGAAGATTCTGCTATGGAAGCAAGGATTACAAATGTGTCTTTTAAACTTGAGAGGTTGGATGAGTAACTGTCTGTTCTTAAGGCTGAACAAGCGACCTTAACCAGTTAGCTTCACCAGGAGATTGAAGAGGTCAAGAAAGTAAATGTTAAAGTTGAAGATGCTGAAGCATAGTTAGCTAATAGTAACATTATTTTGGAGGAGTCGAGTAGAATCTTCTTTATCATGTAGACATACCATTCTAAGATAGCTGCCCTAGCGAAAGATGTAAAACTATTGAGTTGATTCTTATGTAACTTCATCATTCAGTGAAATGAAAATGACTTCTTTAATCTACTTTAGCTTGCATTTCCTCCTTGAAAATCAATTGTGGTGAATATATAAGCTCATAATGTTTGCACTTCTTCAGTGTAGCAATCCCTAACATTCCACAAGGTTGGGTGATATTTCTTAAAAAACTTAGCATTAATTGGATGCCTTTATAAGCTTCCTTCCATATCTGCCAAGTAATATCCTCCTTTATCTAGTACATGGTTGATAATGAAAGGACCCTCCCAAGTCGGACTTCACTTCCCAAAGCCTTTGATTTGAGCTCCCAAAGGTAGCATTGCTTTCCATACTAATTCCTCATCCTTGAAGGTTTTTAACTTTACCTTCTTGTTGTATGCTCGGGCAACAACTCTCTTCCCTTCTTGAATTTTAGTTAAAGCTTCAATTCGGGCTACATCCAAGTTCTCAATTTCTTGACACATAGCCTGAATGTATTCCTCATTGTGTAGCGCGAATTGGTTCTTAATTCTGACAGAACTTACATTAATCTCCATGTGGAGTACAACATCTTGCCTGAAGGTTAGAGCATAAGGAGTAGTTCCAGCTGCTATCCTCTTTGAGGTTCTGTAAGCCCATAAAGTATCTCCTATCTTCTCATGCCAATTTTCTGTACGTTTAGCTACCATTCTTTTAATAATGTTTACCAAGATTTTGTTGCTGGCTTCTGCTTGATCATTTGACTGGGGTTAGTAAGGACTAGATTGGATCATATTTATCTTGAACTTACTTGCAAATTTTTCTACTTCCTTCGAAGTAAAAGATGGCCCACGGTCTGTAACAATTGTCTCAGGCACCCCAAATCTGTGTAGGATCTTGGTTTCAATAAACTTCTTGACTGTAGTTGAGATGATAGTTTTCACAGTTGAAGCTTCTACCCACTTAGTGAAGTAATTCGGCAGGCCCGTAAAAAAGAATTGGGATACTTCCCCCAAAAAACCAAGGGAGGCGACAACCCCCACCTCCGCAGCCGCAGCATGGAGGAGCGGCTCCTTAATCCGCACCCATAGTGTGACGGGCGGTGTGTACAAGGCCCGGGAACAAATTCACCGCCATATGGCTGACCGGCGATTACTAGCGATTCCGGCTTCATGTAGGCGAGTTGCAGCCTACAATCCGAACTGAGGACGGGTTTTTGGAGTGAGGCTGATCTATATTGGGATTGACCCTTATTAGGCTATCCTTTATCTATGCCAAATGCAGCATCACTGATCGCCCTTTGTTGTGGGATGAATGAAAAACTATAGCGGTCTCATCTAATGATGCTTGGTTTCTATTTTCTGGTTAAATACATTACGAGATGTTTTTTCCATACTTTCCGCATTCAATTCTAGCTATTTCTGCGCCTTTTGATCGACCTGAACAACATATACGGATCCCCTCAACCCCTTTTTTCATTACTAATGGAATATCCTTCACTATTTTACTAAAAATGAATTTGATTGGCCCGACCCGCCGCACTAGGATTGGGGAGACTTGGATCTAGGCGAGGCTTCTTTTTTAGGAATATCAATGAACCCGATTATTGAAATTGCTCAGGATACCCTTTTTTAGCTTCTAGAATCTATTTCTTAGTTCAAGATCCCTATTACCAACTGGAATCAAAGAATTTGTAGATCTGTTCTGCCCAAAATAGGAATGGGCTAGGGTTATGAACTTATAATCTATAGTGCATCTACACGCCTTCATCGACGTTGTTTTTTCTACCGAAAGACCAAGAGCTAACTATCGAGACTTTGGGTTATCCGGACACATACTTCGTGAAATGGTTCATGCATGTTTGTTGCCGGGGGCAACAAGATCAAGTTGGTAAGGATTAAAATATCCATTTTCTATTAATTTCTCCGATCATAGAAGGGCCTCTTTACCATTCTGTATAAATGGGCTATCTTATTTGTACGGATATGGTAGAGGGGCAAAGTCCGCTTTTGTCCCTTCACTTAGGGCTGTGAATCAGGGCCTAGCTGTTAAGAGAGAGGTGTAACTAGTGCTGCTGTCGTCAGTCCACCTAGTAACAAATCAATGAGAAAAGTGAAGGTAAAGCCCACCTCAATCCCTTCCCTTGGAAGTCGTGCCCAAAGAGAAATAGACTAGAATAGAGCGCGAAGGCCATTACTCTCTGGTTCAAGTCCAAGATGGCCCAGCTGCGCCAAGGAAAAGAATAGAATAAGCATTTAACTCCTTCATGCATGCTCCACTTGGCTCGGGGGGATATAGCTCAATTGGTAGAGCTCCGCTTTTGCAATTAGGTCGTTGCGATTACGGGTTGGATGTCTAATTGTCCCTCGCCCGTGAAGTAAATCATCGCACCTACGGTCCAACCAATTGGGAGATAATCAATAGATTCCTTTTCGGGAGCGATTCATCCTTCCCGAACGCAGCATACAACTCTCTGTTGTACTGCGCTCTCCAAGTGTGATTGTTCCTCCCTTCTTCCTTACCATTTAGATAGGAAAAATCCCATTTAATTCGGGTTTTATATTCTGAAATTCCTTATTCCCACTGAGGGAAGTAGTTAACCTAACTTCATATGGATTATTAGTAAGGATCAACTGGGAATAAAACTCAACGTTGCGAGCTCCAAAAGTGATCCTGGAAGGGGGACTTGGTAAACTACATTTTGTGTAGTGAAATGATCTATAAACAGAGGATCGACAGAAGCAAAACTCGAATCACACTATCAGGAATAGGTCCAAGCATTCCTCTTTTCGGTAGGTAAGTGGGGAAGATTAGAGCAAGCAAGGCATGAGATCTTCGCCTTCTCCTACTAACCTGTGTTTTGTGTACACTCAGGAGTTCCCAGTTCTCTCTAATGCAACGGGTGTTGTTTACGAAATTAGGTTCTTTTGGGGTTATAGTTGATGGTTGTTTAGCAATTCCATCCATCTCTACTACAGAACCGGACATGAGAGTTTCTTCTCATCCAGCTCCTCGCGAATT